CAGCAGGGCACATGTGCTGCCTGGGAGCTGGGGTGGATCCACCTGTCAGCCAGAGCTCCTGGTTTGATTCCCCAGCTCTCTGATCATTCCCCCAGCTCTTCCTGGGGGACATGGCCCCCAGATCTGCACATGGGGTTTCAGCAGGCTGCTGCTGCCAGCTGGAGAAATAGCCCAGAGCCGCTGCTATCACCAGCTGGCAGCGGCAGCCTGCTGTCATTCCGTATTATCTGGGGGGCCTGAAAATTTCCAAAACATTTCAGATGGCCTGTTTCATTTTGGAGCTGTTTCGGAGCCCTGAGTTTCGTTTTGGATTCAGTATTTTGACCGTTGAAACGCTTGAATCCAAAATGAAATGGCCGCCAAAATTTTGCACAGCCCTAACAAACACCACTTATTAAAAACATCCTCATAAGACTATTCCTCTTCCTGCTTGGATGGATTTGTTAAACTCTAGAGAAAAGAAAAAACACAAAATTCAGGCACCTGCGGTGAGCTGCATTATGAATGTAGCTTTTGTGATTTTCCCTTTCCTCACTGGTGGTGTATTAAAGTACACCATACGAACATGTCAGTGGATAGCAATCTTTATTAACATGTGGTACTTACTTATCTCCCACAATTCCCAAGTTGATTGTTGGGTAGCCATGTTCTTGGATTGTAGCTAGGAGAGTCGAACGATTGCTGTCTCGGATCTTTCCTGGTAAGAGGTCATCTTCAGGGTTCAATAGCTATAAAACCACATACATCAGTATCCTCAGTACTTTTGTGCACTTGAAATTTCCAGCTCCTGAGATTGGATAATGTTTCTACTGACAGGCACCTATGGCAAGTAAGTTATTTCATACACTGATCTAAGCAGATTCTGAGAGTTTAGAGACTATTCAGCAGCATATAACTAAAAGATATATGGCTGAGTCACGGGTAATGCCAAAAAGTAAGTTCTTCTAGGATTCCCTTTTCAATTGTTTTGATGGGTATGTCTATATAGCATAATGTGGTGCCAGCTAGAGCTTGGAACTCTGCCCAGGCTAATATATACTGCATCTCACCAGGGCTATTAAGACTAGGTGGAGTTCTGCACTCATGGATGTATACAGCTTCTGATAGGAGAGCTAGCTTATTCAGCAAACTTGGGTATCTCTGCACAGCACTGAATTGTGCGTTGGCATAATCAACAGATCCACGTCTGCAAACTTCTTTTCCTCATATCATATAAACCAACCTCATAGTATAAATCAAAACACAAGCTCTGAATTTGCAACTAATCAAGTTGATGGATATATCGAGTGATTCTGATTACTGAAAAGTCAAGGATGTTAATCTAAGGCTGCTGATGCAGGAGTAATAAGGTCTATTGTTTATTCACTTAGACAGATTTTAAATGTGGCAACCTACGATGGACTAGCACAGTTGTTTTCAACCTCTTTAGACTCAAGGCACCCCTCAGAAAATGCCAGTCCTCAATCAGGTTGTCTCATTATTCCAGAATAGTTACAGAGGACAGTGATTCAAAAGGAGTTGCTCTTATTGCTAGGGTAGGCAGAGTACACTACAAGCCTGACTCTACTGCTAACACTCCTTCTGAGCAGTAGGACGACTGACTGGGTCAGGACTGGAAATGTCAATTCTATGCCTACTGAGAAGTCCCTAAAATAAGGTTTGCTTTAAGTTCACTAGAGCAGTGCAAATGGACAATGGATATGACCCAGGTTCTTGTTAGAGATTCAAATATCTCTGACTACATCAGAAGAAAGTGAGAGTTACAGGAGCTTAGTACCTGCAGTAAAACAGGCCCATTTGGAATTAAGATGGGAATTGCTATTCAAAATTCTACTTCTGTGCCTGCAGAAGAAAGACACAGAAAAGATACTTTCTTACCTCATTCCCTGTTGACATGACTGCAACAACTGGAAATTTATTAACTTCTACTTCTGTGACTCCAACAGTTGCTAAGAGACCAATCTCTGATGGACCCATGTGGGTTCCCTTAGCCAGCACACATTCACCTCTTTTAATGTCATGTCCTATAGGTCTGAAAATTATAGCACACAAGAAAGGAAAGAAAAAGAGAATACCATTGAAAATGACATGCACTAGTTGGTCAGGTTTCAAGCGAACAGTGCGTCTCCCTATGGCAGTCATATTTTTTTAAATATCCATGCTTTTTATGGGAAAACAGTATCTTGAAAATATATTGTAAACTGTATATTTAAAGAAGTATTCTTAAAATGAGGATTTTTAACAAACCTGATATCTTGGCCTGGTCGAGCCTGCACAAGAATTCGAACCTCTAGCTCTTCAGTGCCCTATAAAAAAAGAGGTTGCACAAGTTCAAATGTGTTAAACAAAATTAATCGGCTTTTATTTCTCATCATTCTATACAATTTATTTATGGTTCACAAATGATCATGCCACTCTTTGATGTGTTTGCTGCAATGATTGCTTTGTCACATTATGGCCGAAGTATCACCTAGTTTCTCTTTATCTGCTCATCAAGAGCTCATCACAATATGTGCTCCAAGTTAAAGAGTTTACAATAATTATTTCTTATCTGAGCTCATCAAAAAGGACCTGCTTTGAATACATTGCTTGCTTGCCTGTTTTATGACTGAATGTTCAGTTATCTTTCTCATGCAATATACTAAGGTTCTTTGTTGATTTTGTCTATCATGGGAATTCTTTCCCCTTCTGATGTGCTCAAAAGTAATTTCAGAAATAGCATCTACGGAACAAATCAAGAAGCATGGCAAAAAATGTGGCACTGCAGTTATGGATAAGTAGTAAGAAAATATCCACCTTGCCAACTACTCATGTGTCCAAATTTTCAGGGGTTATTTGCATTTATGCAGTGCAAAGATCTCTTCTCCTCCTGGGAACTATGAACATATCTGAGCGTAGTTAATACATCATGTTTATGGACTTTGAATAGGACAGTGGCAGGAAAATTTGAGGCCTACTTTCTATTAGAGCTTTTGAATTCACATATTCAAGATTTCAATGCTCTGGTGGTTTGCTCAACCACCAATGAATCCATTTGAACATTTTAACTTACGGACAATGTGATTCGTATTATAAATATTTAACTTTATACGCCCTGTGAGTGGGTGGGTGATAAATATACTCAGCTCTGGAAAAGTGGCAGTCTGTCAGCAACACTGAATTTATACTATACTTAGAATGGAGCAGAATTTTGTTTTATATCAATGCCTTTCATATTTGTAGTGCTTCAAAGCCATGAGTCAGACACGGGTTTTGCAAGGCAAACAAACATTTAGAAATAACTACCCTGCTGTATGTGACATTAGAGTTTGGTTTTCATTGCTGGACTCGTCAGTGGGGCTTTTCTTTACTTTTATTAAAAGGACCCATTGACTGTTATTTTCATCACAGCAGAGAGGTCCTGTATATGAGATCAGATTCTTCTGACCACTAGTATTCATTGGAGCCATATGTATGCTCTGAATGTCTTTTAATACTTAATGGGCAGAGAAGGTGGAACCATTTCTCAGATTCTTTGCCATTTTAGGATCCAAGTGGTATAAACCTTGTAGTACAGTCCCCGCCACTTAAAACATGCGTGATTAACATGGTTTCCATTTACATTGAGCAAAATGGCTTAGGTCTGAGGAGTTGAAGAGAAAATTTACAGGAAGCTCCAGTTAAGGGTAGAAATAAAGAATTATCTGGGGATTTTTCTTTTGGTGGCGTGAAGTCAAATCATTTCCCACTAGATGTGACTCTGGAAGAAGGCAAGCTCACCTGAAGGACAAAGTAGAGGGATTTCTGATATATCCCAGAAGGTGTTTTCAAGTCCCAAGCTAGAAGCACAGCCTGTATCAGAGGCAGTCAGGCAAGAACCTTATAATGGGACTGGGCTACCTTCATGAGGTTTGATTCTTTACTATTGAGACAACAAGGATTTTAGTGATGATTTCAAAGAAAGCAACAGAAAGCCCACAATCCAGAAAACAGGATGGGGAGTTACAGAGGCATACTGGATAGTTTTGTCTGGAATTTACAGATTGTTCAACTGCATGGAAGATACGTGGCCAGAAACTCAAAAGATATGGGCTATTTTGCTTGAACAAAAATCTTGTAAATAAATCAAAAAACCTCAGAGGGAATTCTTTCTTTTTCTCATCATTTCTTTTGCTAATCTAGAGCATTATATAAACTTTCTCTTCAGAGGCTCAGATCTTGGCCCAGGCAGAGACATATTTAACATGACCATTTGTTGCATTTCTTCCCTCCCATGATGGAAGAAAAGGACTCTGTTCGCCAAACATCAACCTTTTCCTCCTCCATATTTTTCTTGGTTACATAATGAAGGAATATTCTTTTGGGCAATATGCTTCTCTCTACCTTCCTATTTTGATAGGTTCTATTTTTCCTGTAATACCACCTTTTAAATGATGGATAGGCACTGTCACATAGTCTAGGGCAAACGTTAATAAAATCCAGTGACAGCTTGTGTTTGATCCCTACTGACTCTAACGGAGAGATGCTACCTGAACTGTTGTTCTGGTAACATAAGGAAAAGCACCGAAGCTGTAGAGGTCATCATATGTTTCCACTAACAGGAGAGGCAGTTAAGTCAGAATAACTTTCTTCATGCATTGACTCAGGCTAAGAACACTGAAAGAGGCTGTCAGCACCACCACTTTAATTACCACTACCTCAACAATCCAATAAATGATTGAGGCTCCCTGTAGATATGCTGCTAATATAGATTGGCAAGTTCTCAAAGCGTAACAAGTTTACTACATCTCAGTGCAATACATCTTTTGTCTCTTCCTGCTTCAGTATACTGGAAGAGACAAAAGACCTTCAGTAAGCCTGCATGGACTAGGATATTACCTATAGTAGGAATATTGAGAGGTCTATGACATTTCAAGATAAGGAGTCAGGTCATTGGAGTTAGTGAGGTTGGTCATTTTGACTCCTTGTGGATATGGTACCCCAGTCTCAAAAAAAAAGGAGAAAGGTTATGAAATACTGCTCCTTTTGAGACTTTCTCTGCAATCCCTGGTATCATGTTATTGCAAACAGAAGTGAAGCAAAGTAAGTTTTTAATAATGACTCACATCATCTGATTCCCTGATGAGTTCTGTATCTTCCACTTGTACCACAGCATCAGCACCGCAGGGGATTGGAGCACCTGTTGTAACTCGCATTACCTGACCAGGCATCACAGTCTGAGTTGGCTGGAAAATACAAACAAGAAAGGCAAATGAGAACTCACTTGGTTACATTAGATATTAGGAAGAGCTCTCTGTGAGGGTGGCTTAGCAACGGAACATGCTTAGATATGCAGTCTCCATCGCTGGAAGTTTTTAAGTGCAGGTTAGACAAACATTTGTCTGGGATGGTTTAGATGGGAACAATTCTGTCTTGAGTTGGGGGGGGGGGGGGGGGGTTGGAAGTCCTTTCCAGCTCCATTTTCTTTGATTTCATGAGTTTATAAATTTAAAAAGGGAAAGGGAAAACCTCAAAGTGTTTAAAAATTCTGAGACAATTTGGAATGAAAACATCCATATATAGTAAGGCTTATTTTCCGTGTACTGTTGATGCACTATTATTGTCATGAATAAGAGAAAAACCCCATGTAATTAAACAAGAATAACTTACAGATTCATATCTGGCTCAGGTATTAATGGTTTACATGCATTACCATATGATGGATGCATGAAATGAGCTAGTGGTTTCAGTCCTGTTCTCAGTGGAGGGTTGTCCACAAAAACATTGATCACAATGGGTAAAAAACTGGCATGCTTCTCAGCAAAAGATTCAAACAACATAGCTGGGTTTTGTAAATAATGGTTATCAACCCCAATTTGACCCTACCCTGTGCCTAAGGTTTCAGAGAGCTGGTAGCACATGGGCTTGAGCTACTCAGTCATTTGCATCAAATTCAATAGGAACTGAAAGACCACCTCCAGGCCGCTGAGGACACTGATGACTATTATGCTGACTAACATTCATCAGACAGCCCAGCTTTGCAACAGGGGTTAGGTGTGGTTGTCTACACAAAATCCTTACCTCTGTATATCTTTCAGGCGAGATGGATTTGTGTTACCTGGGATCTTTTTAGATTATCCAACAGACATAATCACCCAATTACCCCAGTCACATTTGAGTTCTGCCTGCCAGACATGTTGAAGTTGCAACCAGTTTTCCTTGCATTGCTTTTGAAACCCTACAGTAAAAAATTTCCCCTGATGGGGGAGGGGTATCCTCCATTCCCACATTACAATACAGGTAATGTGGTATGAGAAGCCTGACTCAGAATTCATTCAGGGAAGACTTTGGTACCTTATTAGAAGGTGATATGCCCACTGATTAATCCTGAGAGCCAATATATGACATCCACACTCCTGACCTAGTACAAGAGAACCCTGAAAACCTGGGCCAAAACTGCCTGGAAGATGCTCCCTGAAGAGTGGGGTAGTGTGATGTGTAAGTACCAGGGAGCAAGAATAGGTTAGCCTGATGCATCTGGACTAAGGCCATGCTGTGCATTAAACCCTGCTCCTAGATGACCAGCCCTTTTCCTTAGAGTCAGCTGTAAAAGTTTGAGCAGAATGCTAGCAAGTAGATACTTGCTCAATGTATCTTCTTTAGACTTTAAGCAGTTCTGCTAAGGCTAAGTCTTGATCCAATCCCTGGCCTGGATTCTGTCTGCCCAAATGTATGATCCAGCCTTGCTTTTTGCAGGGTCTCATCCTTCTACTTCCTCTGAGTCACCTGACTCTGGTATAGATCAGTGGTTCCTGACCTTGGCTTGTTCTTTGGACAGCAATTTTGGCTCAGACCTGAGGTGTTCAATCCTTATCTAATCACTGCTCTTTGACTGCCCACATGCCAGTTTCTGACAAGAGCAGCAATAGCACCAGCAACAAGAACAAGAGCAACAGCAGTAATAAGTTGTTCTGTGATAACCACACAAGACCACAGTTCAAACCCTCTGCAGAAAAAATATAACTTCTTAAGAAGCCAGCATTCTGCAACAAACCAACACCTGACACTCGAGAAAAAGCTAATCTCCTCAATTATTATTTTGCGTCAGTTTTCCACCAGCTCAAGGGGATCACCCCTCTTGACAGGGCACAAGACTACAAAGGTATGGGTGACCATATGCCTACATTTGGTGAAGACCTTGTGAGGGAACACCTTGGGAGGCTGGACATCCATAAGTCAGTGGGCTCTGATGGAATGCACCCAAGAATGGTAAACAAGTTGGCCGACATTATAGCTCTACCATTGGCACAGATATTTGAGAACTTGTGGCACTCAGGAGAAGTTCCTGAAGACTGGAAGAGGGCCAATGTGGTGCCTATCTTCAAGAATGGGAGGAAGGAAGATCCAGGGAACTACAGGCCAATCAGTTTGACCTCAATCCCTGGGAAAATCTTGGAAAAAATTATCAAAGAATCCATCAACAACAGGCTGACAGAAGGCGCCATTCTGAGAGACAGCCAACATGGCTTTGTTTCAGGTAGGCTGAGCCTGACCAACCTCATCTCCTTCTATGACCAGGACACGTCACCCGGACCAGGGGGGTGGAGGGCGGGGTTTGGGGGAAGGTTGATGTCATTTACTTAGATTTCAAAAAGCCTTTGATTTGGTCTCCCATGATGTCCTTATGACAAAACTGGGGAACTGCAGCCTCGACAACCTTATGGTCCAATGGCTTGGGAACTGGCTTTGTGGTTGGACCCAGAGAGTGATTGTTGATGGAAACGAGTCAGCATGGCGTATGGTGACCAGTGGCATCCCTTAGGTTCAGTACTCGGACTGGTACTCTTTAATATATTCATTAACGGCCTGGATTTGGGCATCAGAAACAGACTGGTTAAGTTCATGGATGACACAAAACTGTGGGGAAGCATGGACACCCTGGAGGATAGGCTGGGGATTCAGGCCAACCTGGATAGGCTTGCAAGATGAAGCCTAATGACCTTCAACATAGAGAAATGCAAGGTGCTCCACCTCAGGAGGAAAATCTCTTATCATACCTATAGGCTTAGCAGTGCTTCACTCAGTAGCACTACGTCTGAAAGAGACTTGGGGATCATGATTAACCACCAGATAAATATGAGCCACCAATGCAATGCTGCAGCCGGCCAAGCAAATAAAACCCTGGCTTGCATCTACCAATGCATCTCAAACAAGACCCAAGACCCACTTTATTCAGCCTTGGTGAGGCTGCAGCTGGAGTACTGCATCCAATTCTGGGCTCCACACTTTAAAAAGGACATGGAGAAGCTCAGAGAGTCCAGAGGAGAGCCACATGCATGATCAGAGGTCAAAAGAGCAGGCCATATGAGAAGCTGAGAGGCACGATACTCTTCAGCTTGGCTAATCGTAGACTCAGGGGGCACTTGGTGGCAGCCTATAAATATATCAGGGGTGTTCATCAGGTCCTGGGAGAACATTTGTTCACCAGGGCTCCTCCAGGGAAAACAAGGTTCAATGGTCACAAACTGGACAAGGTCCAGTTTTAGACTGGACATAAGGAAGAACTTCTTTACTGTTCGAGTATGCAGAGTTTGGAATAGACTCCCCCTAGAAGCGGTGCAAGCGCCTACTCTGGACACACTTAAGATGTGCTTGGACGATTATCTTGCTGGGGTCCTTTGACCCCAGCTGACTTCCTGCCCTTAGACAGGGGGCTGGACCAGATGATCTCACGAGGTCCCTTCCAGCCCTAATGTCTGTGAATCCATGAACAGCAGCATCAAGAAATAAATGGTGTGAACATTTAAAAAAATTGCATCATCAATAAATTTATTATAACTATGTTTTTTTTTCAAAATCCACAGTCAAAATCATTGTTTGGCCACAGTCACTGAAGGAAGGAAGGGAGGGAGAGAAGGAGGGAGGGAGACCTTGTTAGTAAAATGGAAGATAAAAGTAAAGTGCAATTGTGCAAATGTGATTTTTTGTGCAAAGTTGCACATCTGCTCCATCCATCCTTCTGCATCAGTTTTTGTGTAGTGATATTCTCGAAAGTGCCAAATTAAATCTGGAACATGTGTACTTCAAAAGCTGATGTACTCAGCACATTGGGGCAGTTCTAGAGGGAGGGTAATTTTCTTTATCAGCTGTATTAGTGCAGGGATGCTCAAGCCCCAATCCAAGGGTCAGACCCAGCCTGCAGAGCTGTGTCCTTTGCCCTATGGGGCTCCCTAAGGGTCTGAAAATTGGGTGGGGGAGTGGTGGCAGCATTAATGGCTGCTCCTCTTGGTGCCAAATTTCCAGAGCCATGGGGAGCCTCATGACATTGCCTTGTGCAGCAGATTGTACCACTGCAAGGCCAGATCCAGGCAAGTGGGGTTGGGACACTGTCTAGCTGGATCCAGGCATGAAAGATGAGGCCAGTGCGTGACCAGATCTAGGAATGCAGAATTGGGCTGGCATGCAGGGCTGGGCTGATTTGTGGCCAGATCTAGGCATGTGGGGTGGGCTAGTGTGTGGCTGGATCCAGGGTCAAGATGGCATGCTGGATTGCACCCACAAACCAACCCCAAGCACCAACCCTGTGTGGGATCCTGCCTACAGACCGACCCTGCATCAGTCATCAGGCCCATGGGGCTGGAAGATTGGGTCTCATTGCATTAGAATGGTTAATTGACCCCCCAAGACAAGGCTGAATTTAGTTTTGGGACTTCTAAGGTCAAGGGAGCTTTCAATAGGACAAGCAAAATGAGAACTAAAAAGGCTGTAATTATGACATCTTGTGCCTAGAGTTCCATTAACCCTCTGATCCAGGGAGCATATTATAGTACGTCTCGGGTGATTGGAGAATGGAATCTAGGTCATTCCTATGCATCTTAGTAAGCACTCTGGATGGCTCCGGTGAAGATATTCTGTGGGTTAGAAGCACAGAATTATAAGTAGTAGCGTTAAAAGCGACCTTCAGAGATCATCTAGTCCAACACCCTGCCTGAGCCTCATTCAAACCATCCTATACAGAGCCATTGTCTAACTGATTAGCAAAACTACACAGTCAGCTCCAACACAACCACAAGACATAACACCCTAACCTGCCACAGTTAATACAGAGGGACCACAGTGGTCAGTGTCCTGTTGCTGCAAATGTTGGTATAATATGCTTGAGAGATCCAAGGAAGAGGGCCACAGCCCCCTGCTACACAGGAAGGTAACCCCCCTGCCCTGCCCCCACCCATTCCATACCAATCTGACCATGGGGTAAAATTCTTTCCTGAACCCCAAATATGAACTCTAGCTAATCTGACCCTGAGCAGAGTGGCAAGACCCTCTAGCCAGTTACCTCTGGGTTTAAATTTCAGCAGAAGCACTGGCACACCTGTCAAAATCCCCAGCCTTGGCTGCAGCCAGTGTTTCTGAAGAATGCAAATCTGTCTCCCTCCATCCCAACTCCTGCCACCAACACATGTAGCTGCAGTAGAGGGAAAATATTTCCTGGCCCCATGTGAAAACCAGCAAAACCCAGAGCATATGCACTACTCATAGTAGGACACAAGCATAGATCATCCCTGGCTCTCATACTTAGCTTCACTTTTAAGGAATTTATAGAGATATTCTGACCTAAGGATACAGAAACTGCCACAACTATATTAGCTGTAGGTACATTTTATCTGGAAATCTTTTAAAAAGTAGTTAAAAATGATTTGCCTTCTCTAGGCAGAAAAATAATCTATCCAATCTAGAATTTTGTGTACGACTGTCAGAAAGAGAGACTTTGAGAAACAAAACCATCAGCTTTTGCCTTGACACATAAGAAATGAAAGCTCTTATATATTTGATCTTAATTATAGTATAATGAACATACCATTCTTTATATAAAGTTATAATATTGTTTTAAATTTATTAAGTGTTTTTTGTCCTGTATCAGTGGGTTTCAAGGGTTAACTGTAAGATGCATTAAAAAAAATCCCTCTGATTTTAATGGGTTATCTTTTGGCTTGAAGGACCACAAGTTGCATAACATGACTAGAAAAGTGCCAGAATTCAATGGGTGAGGTTAATTATGGTAAAATGTGCTGTAAATATTCATGCTTTTGCAGCTTACTGCTAGGTGAATTAGCATAATGACTCTTTTCTGAGTTGTCCACTTCAAATGATTTAAAGCATCTAAATATACTTATGCATAGCACCTGGTGTTTTACAACGATTATTGTTGACTGCATATTTATAAACTCCTTTTCTGCTCCTCATTACATTGAACCTATTCATTTGTTTCCTGAATAACTATTCAGGTATACACAAAGGTATACTGTCTTGCAACTTGAAGGATTTTCATTCTTCTTTCCTTTAGGATAGACACTGACATGAAAACACAGTGATAGGTACTGTATTAATACTAGATATGACCTTAGCATGAGAGAACACAAAAGCAGAGCAGTGGATACAGAAACTGAAGGATATGTATTAACCTTGAGAGGTGCCTAACAGGCTGCATATACACATTCAAATAATCTAGGAGAATTCTCCCAGGTTTGTTCTTGTGGTAGAAAAACTTACCCAGAGCCACATGTACAGACGTTTGAATGCTGAGGTCCTGAAGAGTGGAGAGCCTGCAATGCTGACACTGAGTGCAGTGCTGACACTGTGCAGCCAGTGGGAGGGCCTATGCAAACAACTCTGTATGGGCTATAGGTTTCCTTAGTCTGCCTGACAACAGATGACAGCAGTGTATAGGGCAGCCCTGATTGGGTAACCCAGATTGCCCATAGTTAGTCTATGTTGTCAGCATGTACAGACATTCATTCTCTCAGGAGAAACTCTCCTGGAAGTGATTTAACCCTGGTTGTATCCAAGTTATTTTTCTCCTGGAGTGGCTATTTTCACTTTGGGAGAAACAGCCTGAACATCTGTACACTTGTTTGTCCTGGGAAAGCTGTAGCTCTCAGGAGAAACTGAACATCTGTACAAGGCCAGAATCTTTTCAGATATGAAATGTTGCTTGACACAGCTCATGAAAGAAAAGATCTGAACACTAGAGAGTGGAGTTCAGACAAAGATCTGAAAATATTGTGGAGGACAGAAGACAGGAAGCTGCAGGGGCAACTCCTGATGCCTGCTGAA